AAAAATGAATAAAAAAAGAGGAGAATGAGTATACCTTCTTCAACATTTCTTTTGATTACATAATTATCTATATTTTAAGATCTAAGATAAATTTTATATGGAGCATCTAATTATTAACACTCACTATCTTTTAAAATTTCGTTGAATCGAAATACCAACAGTAAATGGTATGTCCGACAACATTAAAATTAAATTTTTGAAAGTGTAATCACAGTATCTCCCTTTTCACAGCAAATGGAATTTGTTGAAATTCATAGTGAACATTTTACATGGGCTGAAGATCCCTCAAAATAGAAAAAAAAAATCGTCATTGGTACATTATTATTTTTGGAATGATTTGAGTCAAGTGCTTAATCATCGTGATTGGTTACATGTTTGGATCAAATCACTACATAAATAATAATGAACCAATGAAAAAAACCTAATTTTCTTTTTGCTTTGTTCTCTCTTCAAATAATTTAATACAATCCCTTCAGCCACTAAAGCTAAGCAGCTGTTAATTATTATTTTATTCCTGTACTTACTGAAAAATAAATGAATCCTCCTAACAAATATTAAATCTCAAATTCGTTATTAGGGGAAGGGGGTAAAGGTAATCTGTCATGTCTTGTCGGTCCCATAAGAAAGTGAGGCCATAGGACAGAGCGCGTCCAAGCTTAAAATTTAGTATTCTCGAGTCTAGTTACGCCTGTTCGTATCCGGCCTGGACAGGTTGAAATTTATTCCGTTCGACCACCACGGAGTACATTGGTGGACCAACGGAATAAATCTCGACCTTACCACTGTGCTTATAATAAATTTATTTTTACCTCTAGAACAATCCCTTCCCCCATTTGCCAATAATGCTTTATCCATGAGAAATGAAACCTTACATTAGTTAAGTCAAGGCATGCTATCCTAGATGCTTATTAGACCACTTTTCATCAGATTATTAACATCCACTTGAAACTTCGTAGCTTCATCCCATCTTTACCTAAAAGTATTTTATTAACTAAAATCCTCGTTTTCAATCTGGAGATCGGCAAACTTGGTCTATTTAATAACGCACTAAAAACTCGCAAATACCCATTTGTTTTCCACTTGAATCGTAAGATAATTTGAGAGAAAAAATCGAGTAAAAAGGTGGCCTTAAAAATATATGGCCGTTTGACGTGACCTACACCTCCAACATGTCAAAATAACGAGTTATTCAGTCTAAACAGCCCTATATGTTTGTAGATCACCTTTTTATTTTATTTTCGATTTTGTGATCGAATTATCTTACGATCCAACTGGAAGTGAAATAGGTATTCACGAATTTTTAGTACCCAATTAAATAGACGAAGTTTGCCGGCTTTCAGATTGAATACATCCCAATTGCAAGAGTTTTTGTAAATGAAATAGTTGTTGGTTATGACGAGAGGAAGCTATTTACAAAGTTTCAGGCGTATGTTAATAATTTGATAGAAAGGGGACTGTATAACGGACAAATATTCCCAAATTATATACTCAAATTACCTTATGATCCTTACAAATGGTGTATCGAAGGATATATATAAGTCCTTATAGTTTAACAATTTATTTAATACTTAATGACGTTTCGAGCAGTTTGCTCATTTTCAAGTTCTCAAATTTCAAATTATTCTATTATACGATTATATTATTTTATATCTGATTCACATTGTTGAAACCCAGATATAAAATAATAGAAAACATTTAAATAAACTTTTAAACTGTAAGGGCTTATATATATATATATATATATATATATATATATATATATATATATATATATATATATATATATATATATATATATATATATATATATATATATATATATATCCTTGCAGACACCATTTGAAAGTACATTTAGTGCACTTTAAAAACTTCTACGAAAGTAACTAAATATCTTACGATTCAACTGGAAAGGAAATAGGTATTTACGAGTTTTTAGTACCTAGTTGTCATCACCACCTGTTGTCATAACGATCCTTTAATTGCATCCCAAACTCTCCAATCACACATCACAAACCTTGAAGAATGGTGTCATAACTGGAGAATAAAAATCAATTCCAATAAATCTCATCAAATTATTTTTACCCTTCTTCATAAACCTACAACTTCTTGTCCTACAATATCCTTCAATGATATTCCACTTGTTCATGTTGAACAAATACGCTACCTATGACTCCACTTGGATAAACGTCTTACTTGGAATCCTCATTGTTGACTAAAACGAAAAGAAACTGCTCGACGTTTCCGACTGCTCCAACACTTACTAGACGCTCTAAACTTTTAATTAATTACAAAAGACTCATCTATTTAACGATAATAAGACCTATATGGACATACGAAGTTGAGCTTTGGGGTTCTACCAAACCATAAAATTCCTAACCTATCCAATCTCTCTAATCCAAAATCCTTCGTAAAATCCTTAATGCTCCATATTTTGTCACAAATAAAACCATTCATAAAGACCTTAATGTACCCATATGTCGCTGATTTAGCCCGAGCCAGATACCTATCCAAATCCACTTGTTTCCAGCCTTGCTTCTTCCTCGATTCCTGATAATCCCCCTAGGCGTCTGAAAAGAAGATGGCCACGTGATCTTCTCATTTAGAATTAAATAGGGAGTGCTACCACTGGGCAGTATCTCTTCAAGTCTGTTCATGTCATTATTCCCAATGTGTGCATTTTTACTAGTTGTATTGTTTATACAGTTGTAAATTTCATTAAATAAATAAAAAAATTAATACCTAATTAAATAGACAAAGTTTGCCGATCTCCGGATAGAAAACACCCCAATTCCAAGAGTTTTCGTAAATAAAATAGTTGTAGGTTATGATGAGATGAAGCTATTTATGAAATTTATGGCGGATGTTAATAATTTGATAGAAAGGGGTCTGTACCACATACTATTATTCTCAAATTACCTTATGAGCCTTACAAATGGAGTATATATATATAAAGCCCTTATAGTTTAACAATTTATTTAATATTTTAAGACGTTTCGAGCAGTTTGCTCATTTTGAAGTTCTCAAAACTCCATAATTTCAAGTCTTTCTATTATAATATTCTATTATTTTATATCTGATTCACATCGTTCTAAACCAGATATAAAATAGTAGAATAATATAATGGAAAAATTGAAATAAATTTATAAACTGTAAGGGCTTATACATATCCTTGCAGATACCATTTGTAAGTACATTAAGTGCCCTTGAAAAACTTCCACGAAAGTAACTAAATATGTTACTATTCAACTGGAAATGAACATCCCACTTTTACATTCACTGTTGTTTAAGTATAAAATTAGTAATCAAAATTACGATTCGCGCACTTTACGTGATATTCTCTTTCTATTAATACCTTAAATCGTCAAAATCCATCACTCCTGAAAGCTTGAAAAGGAATATATATATATACAGAAAAAATATATAAGATAAGATACGTTAATGATGTTATTTCCGAAAATTTTTTATCAACCTGAGAAAATGAGTTTCCTTTTTTTCTCTCTTAATCATTAAATTCTTCCATAGTTTATATTTAGCTATTTCCTATCACAATTAATTAGGAGAGACATTTATTTATCCCAAATAAACCATGAGGTACTTCAGAGGACGCCATTTTAAAAATATGGCATTTAAGCTCTGTAGGTTTACCTATATTAAAGACCATTCAATGTATATTCAAAATTGATATAACGAGTTTAATAAAATACTTATAGGGATTTTCCAGAAAATCATATAAATATGTAAATTCTATCATAAAAGGTGCCACTTCACCAGTTAGACGGTTTTAGTAAAAAAAAGTAGCTGTAACATCTCAGGAAAATGCATATGGAGGTCGGCAAACTTTGTCTATTTAATTAGCTACTAAATATATAACCTCATTATTTTGACAGTAAGGGGGCGTAGGTCACGCCAAACGGCTCAATATTTTTGTAGGCCACCTTTTTTTCTCGATTTTCTGCTCAAACTATATTACGATCCAAGTGGAAAGCAAATGGGTGTTTACGAGTTTTTAGTACCTAATTAAATAGAAAAAGTTTGCCGATCTTCGGATTGAAAACGCCCCAATTATAAGAGTTTTCGTAAATAAAATTTCTATAATTTCAAATCTTTCTATTATAATATTCTATTATTTTATATCTGATTCACATTGTTAGAAACCATGTATAAAATTATAGTATAATATAATAGAAAAAATTTAAATGAATTTTTAAACTGCAAGGGCTTATTGTATATACCTTTTTTTATCGATTTTGTGATCAATTTATCTTACGATTCATGTAGAAATCAAATGGGTGTTTACGAGTTTTTAGTATCTAATTAAATGGACAAAGTTTGCCGATCTCCGGATTGAAAACACCCCAAGTCCGAGAGTTTTCGTAAATAAAATAGTTGTAGGTTACTATGAGATAAAGCTTTTTACGAAGTTTCAGGCGGATGTTGATAATTTGTCTTTTTTCTGGGTAGTTGTATGATAGTCTTTGTTATTTGACAATGATTACTTCCAATTAACAACAATTGAATTTATTTGTTGTAATATCAAAATTGCATGTTTACAAGTTTACGTTTCGGTATATTTACTCCCATCTTCAGAACCTCAAGATGATCTTGTGGATACATGGCTTAAAACTAATGAGCTGCATCATCAGTTTCTAATTCATGTTATACGTGTTCTTTATTGAGATAGATTGTAATATTTATTAATAAACATATAAATTGAGAAAAAAAAAATCATGTTATAATAAATCTAGGCATATAACATCTAGAGCAACATCTTGCTTTTAGACCAATTATTGGGTGTCTGTCGTAGTGACTATAGTCACTATAGTGTATCCACAATATCATCGGGATTGTGGTTCTGAAGATGGGAGTAAATAACAGTTGTTGTTAATTGGAAGTAATCATTTCCAAATTAGAAAGTTAATAATTTGATACAAAGAAGTCTGTACCATATTATTTATGCCTAAGAATTTATAAAAAGGTTTACTTAAATGTCTTCTATTTACCTCCAAGGCAAGCTTGGCGTGTGCTAAGTCCAGCCCCTTGGCCCTGTCCGCCATTTCGTATCCTGCCTGCTTGAGGTCCTCGAGCACCACGAACTGGCTGGAGGCGTGCAGACATTGAGGGAAGGCGAGTCTGCAGCCCGCGAAGTGGCTCAGTCCTGGCAGCACCTTCCTGTAGGCGGCTGCTTCGTTGCGGAAGGCAGGGTCGCATCTGCGGAAAAATAATTAGCGATTGATTCAACACATTGTTGAAATTTAACACATCACATTTTAAATTTAAGATTTTTTTAACATGGTGATAAAATATAAAAATGAGGAAAAACTGTTAAATAATAGTCTGATTCCATCTCTCCATTATAAAGGGTTTTCAGGATTAAATGGCCAAACTGAAAATATGAACTAAGGACTTCAAAACAAGAAAAAACTTCTATAAAGATAAGGCCGGTCTAGACGCTCCGTTTTGCACAACTGTATGTCTGCGCAGTCTTAAGACGGAATGAAAACGTTGCATTTTTAGAGCGTCAACACGACACAGACATATCTGTATATTTTGCTCAGTTTTGTGTGAGATCGTCATGGAGAAGGTACTACTGTGTTCGATCTTCGCGATGTGTCTCGTTAAAAAAAAAAGATTGGAACATCTCAGAAGTGCCCGACGTTCAAAGTGGTCGCGTAAGTGGCTTCTAAAAATGCAGTATTTTGCATCCGTTGCATCATTTTTTTTAGATTTATTTGCTAAAATTTCATACGCCTTTCCCTTCTTATCGCTGGTACTGTATTATTTTGATTGAACTAGCCAAATCTACGAGAAACTATCACAAAGAGCAATAAAATCGGTTAAAAACTTCCTAGAACATTTTCGAAGGTCAGCCATTGTCGCCTGACGAATTGAAACTGAGTAAAAGAACGGAAGTTAAGTAAATCGGAATTGAACTGCTGCAGTTCAAGGAAATCTATGCTCTCTGGTTCAGTTTTACTAAAACTGTACCGTCTTCGAAATGGATTCAAAACTGCACAGTTTTCCAGTCCACACGCAACGTTTTGAAGTTCGCAGACAAAACGTTGTGCAGAACGGAGCGTCTGGACCGGCCTTAAGAAATATTCGCACCTAAAGATTTTCCTTGTTATGAATTATTTACTAAATGAAGGAAATGGTCCGGGGTGGCGGTCGTAAATAGACTAAATAGTGGCAAAACTATTTTATTAAAAGCCAACGTTTTGAACTGATTTTGTAAGCCTTCTTCAGGGCTAGAACTGACAAGATACAAAAAGATATACAGAATTCGGGAATGGCATTTAAACAAAAATTATAAAATAATTTTGATAATTATCTTTTATAATTTTATAAACATAACTATATAATTTTATAAATATAATTATGTTTTATAATTTTTGTCTAAATACCAAGTAACTTCCACTCCAATATTTTAAAATATTGTTAACTAGATAGTTGACCGTTGTATATTATTGAGTAAGCAGATGGTGGCGGTCATAAATAGACTAAAATAGTGAGAGAAAAAAAAATTCAAGCCAATATTTCGACCGACTTTTCAGGTCTTCTTCAGAACTAGAACGAATAAGATACAAAAGGATATAAAAAAATGTGGTGTTACATAATAGTTAGATAAAAATTATAAACAATGTTAATAAACTTATTAAAATTAAAATTTAAAAAGCACAACTGTTTATAATTTTAATAACTTTATATTAATATTTTTTATAATTTTTATCTGAATTTCATGTTACTTCCACAATTCTCTATATCATTTTGTATACAAGATATTGTCCGTTCTTGTCCAGAAGAAGACCTGCTAAGTCGGGTCGAAACGTTGGCTTTTAATAAAATAGTTTTGCCACTATTTATTCTATTTATGACCGCCAGCCCGAACCATCTCCTTCCTTTATAATGCAACGGTCAACTATTAAATATTCAGTAAAAATAAAATAATTAAATAAAATCTCTCTGCCTTTCATCTTGTAAAATTATGCAATTGCTTTTGTTTATTTTATAAAATTGATAAAAAAATTAATTTTTTTAAAAGAATAAACATCTCATAAATTGGCTTAATATTTTAACTGTAAACACTTTTTAAACCACAATAATACTACTATTGTGGTTTAAAAAGTGTTTACACAGTGAAAAAGTGAATAAATTATCACAGTTAATCTTAGTTTTATAGATAAAAATTGTTACGTCTGGTGGTTGGCTTTTAATAAAATAGTTTTTCCACTATTTAGTCTATTTATTCCCTCTCATAATGCATAGAATTGACTTGCTCCATTTTGATTAGTTCATTTATTGCGAATTAGTTGCAATTGCCAACTAGTTATATAATGTAACATAATTTTATATTCTACCTACAATTATATATTTATCTAGAATAATAAATAAATATAATTCCTTACCTGAATGCTTGCCTTCTAGCTATACTGGCAGGTTGTCTTTTCATCAGCAATGATTTTTGAAAGCTTTGATCTGAAACAGGTACATAGGAATTGTAGTAAAAATATAAAAAAAATATCACATAAGTTACAATAAATAACCTGTTACTTTAGTTTTTGAAGTTAAACCAAATTTTGTACAATGGGCTATTATTCAAAATTTTATATTAACGTGACGCCATGTTAGATAGGCAAAAAGGGACAAAATAGTGTCGAAAACCAAACGATAACCAGTTTTATGGAACGTTTGGATTAAAATATCACAGAACCTAAAAATCGAACCTGCATACTATTTATTATTTATATTCTTCGTCGTAAACCTATGACTTCCTGTCCTACAGTTTCCTTTAACAATACTCCACTTATCCCTGTTGAGCAAATCCGATACCTAGGACTCCACCTTGACAAATGACTCACTTGGAACCACCATACCAGACTGAAACGACTAGAAACCGCCCGAAGTTCTCGACTACTTCAGCACTTACTAGACAAAGGCTTTAAACTTCCAACTATTTACAAAAGACTCATATGTATTACTATAATAAGGCCTATTTGGACGGGATTGAGCTTTGGGGCTCCACTAAACCATCGAATTCCTCTCGCGTCCAATCCTTACAATCCAAAATCCTTCGTAAAATCCTCAATGCTCCTTACTTTGTCACAAATAAAATCATCCATAACGACTTTAATGTACCATATGATTCCGATTCAGCTCAATCCAGATACCTATCCATAATAATCTTCTGAACCATCCGAACCCTCTTGTTTCCAATCTTCCTCTTTTATTCCTGATAACCCTCCGAGGCGTCTGAAAAGAAGATGGTCTTGGTACCTTGAAGTATAGAAATATAATTGGAGTGCTACCAAAGGGTAGCTTCTCTTTATGTTTTATACGTCATGTTACTTGTTGTATTTATCATTTAATACAGTTGTAAATTTAGGTAATAATAAAAAAAATATATATTATTAATCTCTCTTTTTTTATTATTAAATTTTCTGAATTTCTACTTATTGAATTCCTCTATTGTAGACAAACTTAAAACCAGACGAAAGCAATGAACAAGACATTTCTCCTTACGTAAAAGCAAAACTCTCTTCCTTTTAGTTTTTATAAATAATATATTAACTTATTATTCTTGCCTCTAGGAAATAGAAAAAATTAATAACGCGTCGGAAAATATAATGAAAGCCGTAAAGTCATCGAGTATGAAATTGAGTTTTTAAAATGTTGATAAAAAAGATGTAATAAGGGTCGAGAAAGTTATGTAACTTTGTTACAGTTTGCTAATTTAACAAGACTGAGGTCTCGTCTGTTTAAGTCTTAAATAAGTTTATCTCTGTCATAACTGCGCTTACAACAAGAGGTCTTATTCTGTGGGTCAACAATTTTTTTTGGTGATATTAAAATATTGGACACGTTTTCCGGCGTTAGGTCCCAAGAACCGAAATAATAATAATAATAAGGCTTAGCGAACCCGAAGGTTCGATGCCGACACCACCAATCGCTTATTACTCACCTCCCTCCACCGTTCGCCGTCCAAACCCAGTCCCATCAGATCGGATTTAATGCAATCTTTCCACCTTCGCTTCGGTCTATCCCTTGGGCGCTTACCATTCGGCACAGCAAATATTAATCTTTTAGGAATTCTCTCGTTACTAAGCCCAACAACTTTACAAGCCCATTTGATTCGCCGCGATGAAATTACCTCAATTATATTACCCGGATAAAGCTCACGCAATTCGGCGTTGTGTAACCGTCTGAACTCTCCGGTTAACTCATCCTTCTTCGGTCCGAATATTCTACGCAATACTTTTTTTTCAAAAACCTTAAGACGCTGCTCATCCCTTAATGTAAGCGGCCAAGTTTCGCATCCATGAAGAACTGTAGGCAAGATAACTGTTTTATAGATTCTAATTTTTAAGTTCCGGGACAAGAGGCGCGAACTAAGTAGTTTTGTCACAGAAAAATAACAAGCATTTCCCGCCTTCAGTCTAACCTTAATCTCTTCTTCAATTTCGTTTTTTCTAGTTATCGTTGAACTTAGATACCTAAACTTATCTACCTGCTCAAACATATTACCACCTATATCGATATCACCAGTAGTATCGTCATTTTTGCAGCTAACTATATATTTTGTTTTATCCACGTTTATTTCGAGTCCTAGTTCTTTCCCGCCTTTCATTAACGTTGTCGTATTTAGTTTTATAGTTTCAACGTCTTCGCTTGCCAAGAACCGAAAACAAATATTTAATACAATTTCAAACAAAATTAATGTTACTTATTTTTATCTTTGTACTCCTGCAAGCAATATATGCCTTTAAGGAGATAACATATCGCGGCCAAAGATCTTCACGTTCTATATGAAAAATGAAAGAGAAAAAAAATATACAGTACGGAATTATGATATGATTTTTCTTATATCCCTTAGTATTTCTGTCTATATACTTAATGAATTCTTTAATATATTCTTAAGAAAGGGCCAAATTTTGAAATTGTCAGATCATTCCTTGGGTCAGACTTTTTCATTGTTCATAGATACTTCCCAAATTTGAATGGCCAATTAAATCATGATATCAAAGATCAAATGGTCATTTGAAATATCTAGTATTTTTTTTTATTTTATTTTTTATATTTTTATTCTTTCCTTCCTCGCCGTTAAGGCTATACGGGGTTTTCCCGGGCCAGGGGGTGTGGGCGGGGATTTAAAAGACGCCTTGGCACCGGGACACGAACTTGTGACTATTTTTATAACATTTGTCATATATCAGGTTGCAGGGCAACGGTGGTGCAGTGCACAACGCGTTAGTCCATTCGGCCACCCCGCCCACAAATATCTAGTATTTGTATAATTAAGAATGAATTTGACATGGCTTATTCATTATATATTTATTCTTTGTTTCAGAAATATGGAGACTGCATATTCTGATCCTTCAGCGATGTTATCCTGTTTAAGCACTTAATGTACGCTAGATTCAGAAGACATCTTTAGTGAAATTTTGCAGCATAATAAAAACTCACCATATTTTTGTCTTAACTGAGATGAAGTTGCTATAGCTACCTCTCTCTGTAGGGATTGTAATGAATTACTTTGTAATAATTGTGTGAGAGCTCATATTAGAGTAAAACTGACCAAAGATCATTGCATTATTCCTCTTCATTAACTTCATCTTAGTCCTTCGACATCTGCATACTCCAGTTCATCAAATATGACTGGTCAGAGTATCCTATGGAGCTTATTAAATGGTAACTGCAATATAATGAGTTATTGTATTGGGCTGGCAAATAAGTCCTTTCGGTTTTTCAGTATGAAACAAAACTGTATCATAGACATAAAATTTATTTTAATCTACAATATATTGACCATTACTTAATATATTGAACTTTTCCCATCTTTTCACTAACTGCATAATGCCATGTTCATAGAAAGTGTGGAGTTTATTGTTAAAAAACTGATCCAAGCTGTTTTGATATCTTCTTCCTTTTGGAGTTTCTTTCCATTCATGGATTTCTGCAGAGACCGGAATAAATGGTAGTCGCTTGGAGCTAGGTTTGGTGAATAGGGAGGGTGGGGCAAAAGGTCCTATCCAAGGTTCAATGATTTATTGCGAGTAACCAATGAGGTGTGGGGCCTAGTGTTGTCTTGGTGGAACAAAACACCCTTCCGATCATTTATAACTCTTCAAAATGTTCTCCAAATTCGATGTTACTATATCCGGTGAAAAGCTGAATTATTGCTCTTCCAAGTTTTGTGAATGACATTTTTTTTTATTTAAATGGTCTACATAAGGAATAAATAAACAAAAACTCCTTATAAGTTTTATTTTTTTTCTCGATTTGTAGTTTGTTTATGAAGGTCCTAATGATGGCATTTTGTGTAGTATGTGTGGCCCTAAATATCTTGCAGATAACTTAAGTCGTTTTTATGTTATAACATGTTTTGTGATTTTCGAAAAAAATCTTGTGAGGGATCTAAACATTATGCCTGGAAACAGCCGAGCTTGCGTAAATGGTTTTCTCCCCTTGTGTACGACACATTTCGGGCCATAGCAATCTCGTGCACTGATTGGGTGGGATTTTGATCAACAATGGCCTGACATTGCTCGTTTCAATTTCATTTGGACTACCAGACCGTTGAGCATCATTGATTTCAAAATTTCCTGAATAAAATTCGGCAAATCAATTTTACAGATGCGGTCTGTTAAGGCATCATTCCCAGAAACACTGCAATAAAAATAGAAATAAAACAACAAAATTTGCCGACAATGAATGATCTTTTCTTCCGTATTCACAGTGAAATAGCAAACACAATACTAAGCTAGTTTCAACAACAGTTAACATATATAGTTGTTGACATATTACAAACAGGATAAACAATCCATCTTAGGGATTAATTCATCAGATAAGAAGTGTATCATAGTGACATAAAAATAAACAGAAAAACCGAAAGGACTTATTTGACAACCCAATAATTGAAGCAGATTGGGACCTAAATCTCTGATAAGTTTTGTGTGATATATTTTTTGAAGTGGTATCACCAAAAATAAATTGGTGGAAATCGGTGACCCATTGATTATGAGCTCAGTTGTCAGTGACTTATAACGATAAACCAACGTTACATTGTAATTTTGACCATCTTTAATGTAAAAATTGTTGAAATTGCCTTTGTCTGAACGATAACTAGATATCTTATTTATTATTTTAAAAAATAACCTTATGTTGAATTAGAATTGGCAAACTTATATATATAATAGAAGAATCAACTTTATCCTGGTACAAAGTCCCTTAAGAATAACAATATTTATTTTTAAAATTAACATTACATCAGCCCAAAATATATATTACAATAAAAGAATGACTAAAAAATAAGTAATAAGAGAAGAATTTACATAACTATACAGATATATCAAAGAAACAAGAAAAGGCATTAGGTCACAATACTGCAAATTATCTGCTGCAAACAATAAAGTAAGAAATAACTAAATGAAATTGTAAAAAAACGATAAATTACTTTTGTAGGCAAACTATTCTAGTAA